TGGAAGCTATTTTGTTGATTTAATGGGAATATATATTGTGCTGTCAGAAACGCTTACCATGAAGGCTGAAAATAAAAAGACATTTAAGCATCTATTTTTGTGAATGACACCTTGACTTATGAGTCAACAGTTTCAGCTTTTGCTACTCTTAATTGGCTTCTTCACAGCTTTCTTTTTAAAACAAACTGACAAGCTCATATGCATAAAAAATAAATAATTAAACTGAGCATGGAAAAAAAGGTGTTACATGATTCTATAAATATCTGGCCTAATGCAACTGAACATAAGCAGTTTCATAATTAAAATGAATGTATTTTTAATAATGTTTTGATCTGAAGAAGTTACATGCTTGTATGCATACAAAATAATAGTATCTTGTGTTTGTCATTTTGTGTTGAGAAATAGTCAAAGTCAAAGTCAAAGTCAGCTTTATTGTCAATTCAGCCACATGTACAAGACATACAGAGAATCGAAATTGCGTTACTCTCAGACCCAAGGTGCTTAACATTAATATAAAATATATATATAAAAAATAGTAGGGTTTAAGAAAAAGAAAATTTAGAAAATTTACAGTATATACATTATTGCACATAAATGTGGTCTAAGAAATATACATATGTAATATAAAAAAAAAATTGTAAACAATACAGTGACATTAAGGGCATATAGCAATGAGTGCAAAGTAAACCAGAGTTGTGCAGATAAAAAACAGTATAGTGCAAAAAGAACTTGTAAACATGATAATTGTGATAGAGTGACAGTGACATATTGGGAGGTAGTATATGTGTCTGCATAAAGTGACCAGTGCAGATGAATGTGTGTGTGTGTGTGTGTGTGTGTGTGTGTGTGTGTGTGTGTGTGTGTGTGTGTGTGTGTGTGTGTCAGAGTCCAGAGGTGCGAGGGGAGGAGGTGCGTGGGGAGGGAGCGGGGAGCAGAGCTGGGAGAGAGTTCAGCTTCCTGACAGCCTGATGGATGAAGCTGTCTTTCAGTCTGTTGGTCCTGGCCTGGAGACTGCGCAGTCTCCTCCCTGATGGCAGCAGACTGAAGAAGCTGTGCATTGGGTGGGTGGCATCTGCTGTTATGCAGAGGGCTTTACGGGTAAGACGTGTGCTGTAAATGTCCTGAAGGGAGGGGAGAGAGACACCAATGATCTTCTCAGCTGTTCTCACTATGCGTTGAAGTGTTTTCCTGCAGGATGCATTGCAGGTTCCAAACCACACAGTGATGCAGCTGGTCAGGATGCTCTCAATAGTGCCTCTGTAGAAGGTGTACATGATTGGGGCTGGTGCTCTTGCTCTTTTGAGTTTGCGGAGGAAGTAGAGACGCTGCTGTGATTTTTTGGCCAGTGCAGTGGAGTTTTTGGTCCAGGAGAGATCCTCAGTGATGTGTACACCCAGGAACTTGGTGCTGCTCACACGCTCCACAGTCGCACCGTTGATGGTCAGGGGAGCATGGAGAGTGTGCTCTTTCCTGAAGTCAACAACAATCTCTTTCGTCTTCTCCACATTCAAAAAGAGATTGTTGTCTCTGCACCACTCGGCCAGACGGCTCACCTCACTTCTGTAGTTTTCCTCATCGTTTTTGTTGATGAGACCCACCACAGTTGTGTCATCCGCAAACTTGATGATAGGTACTGCGTTCTGCAGTTCACTGTGAGGAAGGACTTATTTCCCCAGGGCAATTTAGTAATCAGATTTTTTGTGTGTGAACTAAATATCTAAACTGCTAATTGTTTCAAAAAGTAAATTATTTTTTGTTAAGTCTGCAAAATAGTTGGAAAATAACACAAAAATTGTTATTGATTTTCCATATTTTCTGTAACCAATCATCTAAATGTTTCCATTGTTCAAATTGTGGTAGAATTGTCAAGTTATATTAATGGATAAGTCTGAAGCACACCGTAAATTAATTCTGTCAATTTATACAGAGATAGTAGTGTACGCAACTGTTTCTACAGATACATGCACAGGTATCGGTTCGATACTCGTTATCGGCCGATACTCTAAGCACAAGTATCAGAATCAGTATCAGGAAGGGAAAAAGGGTATCAGAACAACCCTAGTTTTAAGTATGCTTAGCCATAGTATGCTCCTGTGACATTAGCGCACTAGTTTAAAGACATCAGTACAAAATAATAACCAGTTATGATCTCTTGTGTTTTTGTATTGTTTTGCTTTACAGTAAGCTCTGAGGAAGACCTTTTTTCAAGGTAATTTAGTAATCAGATTTTTGTTGGTGTAAACTAGATATCCAATCTGCAAATCAATTCAAAAAGTAAATAATTTTTAATAGTTAAATAATTAAATTATCAGTCAAGTCAGCAAAAATTATCTGAATATAACACAAAAATCGTTATATATTTTTCAGATTTTCTGTATCCAATCATTTCATTGTTTCCATTGTTCAAATTGTGGTTTGAATTTATGTCATGTTAAATTAATGGATAAGTCTGAAGCACACCATCAATTAATTCTATCAGTTTATAGAGGGCTAGTAGTGTACACAACTGTTTCTACAGATACACACTCGGCTGATACCTTGAGCTCAGGTATCGGTATTGGGAAGGGAAAAAAAAAGGTAACAAATCTAGTTTTAAGTATGCTTCCCCATAGTATGCTACATAGCTCACCAGATAAATGACGTCAGTATGTAATAAACAGTTACGATCTCTTACTGAACCAAAGTATTTGTGTTTTTGCTCTACAGTAAGCCCTGAGGAAGAACTTATTTCCCCATGGCAGTTTAGTAATCAGACTTTTTTGTGTAAACTACATATCTTAAAGAGCCCATATTATGGGTTTTTGAAAATTCTCCTCCATGTAGTGTGTAACACAGCTCTAAGTGAAGTGAAGTATCCAGCTAAGGCTTAAATCTGTAAGAAAACAGTGTTTAAAACGGTTGATTCATCTATAAAAGAGTCGATTCATAGTGCTTCAAACGAGTCGCCTTGAAACCGACTCATTAGGTGTTTCGCCATGACGTACGAACGAAACAAAGTTTTTCACGTGCACGCGCAAACCCGGGAGATTTCAAACCTGAGGCCCCGCCCTCTGACGCAGTAACCCAGACACACACACACACACACACCCACAAACACACGCACACAAACATGCCGGTCGATTGAAGTCACATTGCAGATGGATATATTGAGTCTCTACCCAAAGATGAAACCTCAGCATTATAGCCAAGCAGTTGGAAACTACTGGAAACTTCTGGAAGCTACATGCTACAAAGAATACTTCATCTGCGTTTGTTAAAGGAAGGATCAGTAACTTACTAATGGACATCAGGATGGGTTTCTTCCATTTCTCAAGTGTAAGTACGTGCGGTTAAAGTTGTTGCCTCGTTGACTCTAGCTTGCAAATGTATTTAGTTGTGATTTGTTACTTGTAACCGAGTGTACTGTCTCAGGTTAACTGGCTATATTCTCTTATCGCGTGCAAAGTCACGTTAAAAACGTGACGCGTGCTGCTTTGTTTATGGAGCTCCGTGGTAACGTTAGAGGTGTGCATACCCGCGGCTGTCCCCGCGCCAGATTTCTGCGGCGCGGGAATAAATTTCCGAATAAATCGCCGGAGCGGTCGGTAACGGGTTTGATTTGGGACGGGAGCGGGCTGCCTGAGAAAGAGAAAGATGTGTCTGCTTGGTGCTTGTGTGTTAGTGCGCACGCGCGCGTATGAGAGAGAGAGAGAGAGAGAGAGAGAGCGAGCGAGCGAGCGAGCGAGCGAGCGAGAGCTTTATGCTTGGTGCTGTGTGTGTGTTTATACAGATTTTCGGTTTTGTTCTCCCCCGCTCTTTAGCGGGATCGGGCGCGGCGGGCAGAATACGGGGCGGGTTCTAAGGCTAAAACCTGGCGGGTGCGGGCGGAAGCGGGAGCGTTCTCGTCCGGAGGTGTGTGTGTGTGTGTTTGTGTGTGTGTGGCAGCTAAAATCCACGCCTACACTATCTAGCGTGTATGAACTGTGATTACTTTTTAAATTGCTGATTAGCTATTGGCCATTTCACTCTCTGACTGAAGGCAGTCGACCAATCGCGACAGACTGTCATCGGTCCAATCAGCGCAGATTAGCTTCGCGCTAAGGAGGGGTTTGGGAACAAATGAATCACTGAACGATTCATACAGGAGTCGCTGGGATAATTAGGTAAAAATAAATGCAGATTATAAGACCATGAAAGTGTTTTTTGACCTTGCATGCATATTAGACTGTTGTTGGAGACCCTTACAACCAAGATATGACCCTATTTCATGTATAATATGGGCTCTTTAACTGCAAATTATTTCAAAAAGTAAATAATTTTGAGCCAAGTCTGCAAAATAGTTAGAACATACCACAACAATCAGCATAGCTTTTCCAGATTTTCTGTAACCAATGATTTAAATGTCTCCATTGTTCAAATTATGACATAATTTATGTTGTTTTATTAATGAGCAAGTCTAAAGCACACCATCAAATATTTATGTCAATTTATAACGGGCTAGTAGTGTATACAACTGTTTTCACAGATAAACACTCAGGTCTCGGTTTGGTACTTGGTATCGGCCGATACCTTGAGCTCAGGTATATGTATCGGGAATAGAAAAAGGGTATTATTACAACCCTAGCTTTATTTATGCTTTGCCAAAATATGATGCTGCAACGTAGTGCAGCAGATATATGATGTCAGTACGTAATAACCACAGATACACTAATAATCTACAGATACACAGTCAAATATGGGTCAGGTATTAGCCGATACCTTGAGTTTAGGTATCGTAATTGGTATCGGGAAGGAATCAAAGGGTATTGGAACAACCCTAGTTTTAAGTTTTCTTCGCCATAGTATACTACTGCGGCATAGCACACCAGATAAATGACAGTATGTAACATTCAGTTATGATATCTCACTGAACCAAAGAATCAATCAATTTTGACACCCCTACTTGCTATTAGGAGTCTCACTTTGTCAAAAGATCAATCACAACTTGGCTAATCAACACTTGATATAGTCAGTTTTCTTACCGTCTTCAGTTTCTTGCCACACAATGCCCTCCAGGTTGACGCTGGTGCCTGGTTCACAGGGTCCCAGGCACTCTGGTTCTGTGGACAGGGCCACATCAGAAGTATTAACCGCCACTGAGCGTGTGCGCACCATAAGCTGCTCACACGGAGATGCAATGTCACTGTTCCCTATAGAGGCAAGGAGGTGAAGCGGAGGAGGAGCTGGGGTGGAGACCGGAGACTCCATCTGAAACCACAAGAGAGACAAAACAAGGAAGATGAGTGCTGGTGCATTAAGACAGGAAATGAATGACACCTGGAGAAAAGCTGCACATGGCCTTGAGCTAGACTGTGTTTTATGAAGGTTGTTACAGAGAGAGGACCTGACCTGCACCCTGCTGGATGGCGGACCTCATTAAGAGCCGTATATGCTTTGAGCTACTTAAGGCTCACTTCAAGGGGAACAGAGCCCACACAGCATGCTCACTGACACCACATCATCATCATCTCACCGGCTGAACACAGGCTCCTTTATTTCATTAAAGGGCTGGAGCTGAGGGTTCAGGCGCTCTAATTGACCCTACCTACAGTCTAGGACCAGGATAGACACCAGTCAGGTAAATGAGTAGCAGTAATTTAGTAAAGCCTGGGTTATACTATTGCGTCGAGTTATCGGTGTGACCCACGGTGCATGCCTTGCATGTTGCCGTGCATTTATACTTCTGCATGCTGTTTGTGTTGCTCTGCAATAACACATCCAAAATGCTAGATGGCAGTAAGGCCCCGTTTACACTAGTGCGTTTTAGTTTGAAAACGCATAAGTTTTGCTACGGTTACGCCATCCGTGTACACTACGCCGGAGTTCTCGAGCGCCGAAAACAGAGCTTTTTGAAAACGCTGGAGAGGCCGTTTTCATTCTAAAACGCTGCTGCTCCGTCTCAGTGTGGATGGGGAAAGACGGAGACATCTGAAAACGGAGGCGGGCTGCAAACGTTCGCCTATCTGCATGGGGCTTTTCCTCAATATTAAGTAGCCCACACACAGTTCAGTCTCGCATCCTCTTCTTGTAAGTTAAGACTTCGCAAGTTTGATCAAGGCTGCAGTCTCCCCCTTCTCAGTTTGATATGGAAAACATACCGAGGACACGCGTAAATCTTCAAAGGGAACAGTGTACTTTATAACTTCATTCACATCACCTTGGCTACGTTGTTTCACTTTCTCAAAAATAAAATGTAAACATGATTTAAGGAACTGCCTATTTTCTTTTTAATATTAGAAAACTTAACAGACAGCAGAAATGTTGAGACGTCGTGCTGCATATATGGGCGTCATCTTCACTGTGTGGATATTTATAACAAAACGGAGCCTATAACAACTGCCTTCTTTCAATTTCAGTGACAATACGAAACGCACCCTCTCTTTTGCTGAATATCAGTTTTAATAATCGATAATTATAAAAGTATAACATACAATAAGTTTATACATTGTAAGAAATAAAGGCAAGCGATCAGTCAATGTACCTGGATTAATCATTAACTTATCTTTGCGCTAAACCAAAACATGTTACCCGTGAAGTAACTTAGTAGATTCCAATGACCAAAGTCAGGGAATTGGCCTATGTCGTTAGATAAAGACAACAACATGAATGAAATATCACGTTCAGCAAATATAGTGAGATTTGATCCAGCGGGAGATGCGTGATGAGCAGTCTGACAAGCAGAGCTCTCATCTGGGTAGAAATGCTGGAGCACTTGCCCGAGAGTGTCTGTGTGGTCACGTGATGTGCGTTTTCAGCGTTTTGGTGTGGACGGAGAGCAGTTCAGAAACGCTGGGTAAAACGCGAGTGTGGACGCGGATCGTTTTCATTCTACAACGCCGTTTTAAAACTAAAACGCACTAGTGTAAACGGGGCCTAAGATTTTATATTTCTCGGTGTCAAGTTTCTTTGCTGGTGTTTTGTTTTTTCTGAACACTAACTTAATGTACAAATGGCTCAAACTAGCTCATTTCAGGGCAGGCGTCAGCGGACGTGCAACAACTTTAATCATAAGGTAAACACAAAACAAAAGTTTCCATATGTAGCTCCTTCACAAGACTCGACACTTGTAAAACTCGCTCCAACAGGTTCGTGCGGCTCTGTCCCACTCACACTCATCAGGGCTACCAAGTCGACCAATCACAGAGCTTGCGCTATGCGTTGTTGTGACATGTAGTTAACTTTTTTTGTGAGGTGCATGTCAGCGACGGCTACAGCATGGGCTATACGACACGTGTAGGCTCTGCCGGACCATATGGATGCTTTTGATGCAGAAGTATAAATCAGTCTTAAGAATTAGCTATGTGTGATCCCGACAGACCCCAAAACAGATATTAATTAGGCTTGGGACAATAACCGGTTTTAAGGTTTACCATGGTTTGGAAAAGTCAAGAATTGTTTAAAAATCGCTAACATTTTCTGTTATATGGTCGTCATGGTAGAGAAGTTTAGTTTATTTAGTCCACGATTCAGGACACATTTTGAAGACAGATTCATCAACATTCAAGCATGTTACAGACCTGAACAGTGCAGTGTCTTATTGGCCTGTCACGATAGTCAAAATATTGACTTATTGCGTGATATGAAAATGAGGGCAGTTAATTTTGGAGGCGCGATATATTGTCTATTTTATATAATGAAATGAAAGATGATGATGATTAGGCTACATAATGTAAGTTGTCAACCGCACTGCATTCTGCTTTGTGTTGAAGGCAGGGCTTATGCAGCATCTTAACGCATGCTACGTGCGCGCACACACACAGACAGAGAGCGAGAGGGAATGGATAGTGGAGGTGAAGAAGGCAAGCCGCGAACCCATTGATTCGTGTTTTGACAGTAAGCTAGGATAAACAAGTCGCGATGGACTTTGTTTCAAAGTCACAGACTTCAGTTCCAGTGTGGGAACATTTTGGCTTTAAGCTGAATGAAAAAGGAGGCACAGTCCTCGCCATGGCTGTCGGGAACGCTGACACGTACCTCTCAAAAAAACTAACACATTGCAACAACTAACACATTGCACACGCATAGCACAAGCTCTGTGAGCCGAGCGAGCCCGATGCATTGAGGGTTTACAAGTGTGGAGTCCCGAGAAGGAGCTCCAGATGGAAAGTTTTGTTTTGTGTTTACCTTAGAATTAAAGTTATTGCATGTTTGCCAATTCCAGCCTCAAAATGAGCCACTTGTACATCAAGGTAGTGTTCAGAAAAATACAAAACACCAGCGAAGAAATCACAGAGGAACATAAGCACCTACTGTCAGCTAGCGTTTCTGAAGTGTTAGAAACAAAACTCACTCACAGACAGGTACCATTATTTAGCTAAAGAGATGCAGCCGTTAAACACCCTTGGAAAAAAAAGCATTTAAATAATATGCTGCAAAATTTAACAAACAGTCCTGTGTCAGAATCTGCCTGATTGTTTTAAGATATTTTTTTCATGCTTCAATTTCAAACGTCTAAATATTCTTAAAATTAAAACATCCTTTTAAACAGTGCACCTGAATTATTACAGGATTATTTTGTAAAAATTTATTTTTTTATTAGTGATATAAGTTATAGAGTGGCAATAACATTGCTTATCGCAATTAATTTGGGTGCAATATATCGCCCAGCAAAAATAGATATTGTGACAGCCCTAGTGGCTTACTTTACATCCAAAGAAAAGGAAGTTATCCAAAGATGCCTTTTCAAAATCTGTGTTTTTGAAACTAATAAAGAGAGCAGAAGTCAATGATTTAGCCTGACATGTTTACTGTTCCAAAATATTTTTTAAGAATAGTTTCTTAAAATAAAATGTATTCAATGGCGAAAAAGTCAGACATTAAAAAAAAAAAAAAACATGTAACTACTGATCTAAAATAACACTGTAATATTTTTTATCGAAGGTTATAATACCATCAGAATCTTATACTGACCTACTCCTAATATTGATAGATTAGGGCAGGGGTGGCCAACCCTGTTCCTGGAGAGCCACCTTCTTGCAGATTTCAGTTGCAACCCATATCAAACACACCTGCCTGTAATTATCACGTAGTGTTCAGGTCCTAATTAATTGGTTCAGGTGTGTTTGATATGGGTAGCAACTGAAATCTGCAGGAAGGTGGCTCTACAGGAACAGGGTTGGACACCCCTGGCTTAGGGCATGTGTGCCACCACTGGCATGTGGAAGAGTAAACATTGGCACACAAATGAAAATGGAGATGGAATATTACATGATTGTAATTATATTGAGTGGTTTACTTTAGAAAAGCTGAAGACCTAAATAAACCTTGGCTAAGCAACAACAGAGAAGCTTCTGTGACTACATTCAACTTGACGTGTTTCAAATTGAATTGTAAACTCCCAACAAGAGAAAGCATCCAAAAGAAATCAAGTCCAACTCACACTTACAACTAGGGTTACTCCAAATCTGATATTATTAGTATCATAAATACCAGCAAAATGAAATGAAAATGCTCTAGCAGTATGTTTGCTGTTAGGGATTGGGATATTTCAGACTAGACCAGCCAGCCTGTTTAAATATGGCTGCACAATTATTCATCAACACATTTCAGGTCATTTCAGGAGTATAAGTTGAGTGTAAAATTAACTTTACTGCTTCTCACCTTCTCACCAAAGGCTGTTGTTATAACTGTTGTCATAATGACATCTTTGCATTTAAAATGACATAACAAAGGAAATGACACTTCTTAACAATTGTCATAAGGATGCATAAAATCTCATTTACATTCATGGCATGTCTTGTCATAATTATAAAGGTTCCATAAAAAAGTCTCATGAACACCCCTTCAAGTAAAGAATTAGACATATTTGTTGCACTTTTAATGCAGTTAAAACTAGGGCTGTGCATTTAATTGAAATAGAATTGCAATCGCGATTTGAAATGTTGTGATTAGCTAATCATGAGGCTGCGTTATGAAATCTATAATATTTAATTTCCCCCACACAGAGCAAATGTGTGTGACAATAGAGTGAGCACACTTTTGTTCTGCCCAATTAGAATTGCACAACCGAACATGATAAACACCCACAAAAAACAACAAACAAACAAACAAACAAACAAACAGGAAAGTGCGGATAAGTGGGATGATGGCATCTGCCGCTTCAGAAGCTTTAATAGACAAATTCATATAAAAGAAAAACAGCACATCGGTAAAATGGGGATACTTTGGATTCAAAGTCACAGACACCAAGCAAAAACAAGTAATTTGTA